CACTTAGCCTCATTGTGCCTCAGGTCCCCAATCTGTAAAATGGGGAGAGGATCACTGCCCTACATCACAGGGGTGTTTTGTGAGGAAAAACACGTTTAATGTGAGGTGCTAAGATACTATGGTAATGAGATTTTAGGGCTGGTCTGACACCATTTGGAATCACACTAGCTAGGGTAAGGATTATAAGGACCGTAAATCCTCATCCTTCCGGCCACGAGATGATCACCAGCTGCAGTCAGAAATTCCATCCTGCCCCAATACAGTATCACACAGCTACTGTATAGGGGTCTTACATTTTCCCCTGAAGGTGAGATTGGCCACTCTGAGTGACCCGTTACTGCTCTAGATGGACCACTGTTCTGGTCTAGCATGACAATTCTTACGTTCTTACTGTCAAAAATAAAACATCCTCATTTGGATTCATCTCAGGTCTCCTGCTCCTTCACTTGTCAGGCTCTGAGTGTGCCATGGAGGCAAAACTCTTAGAGTATGTCTACACTGCAGTTAAACGCCTGTGTCAGCTTGGGCTTGGGCTGCAGGGCTGTCAAACCGTGGTGCAGATGTTCAGGGGTCCCAGAGCTCAGGCTCTAGCATGAGTCCGAATGTCTAGATTGCAGTTTTCCAGCTCTGCAGCCGGAGCCCTGCAAGCCTGAGTCAGCTGAGACAGGCCAGCCATGGGTGTTTCATTGCAGTGTAGACATACTCTCAGTTCAGGCTGTCTTTAAAGCAGCTGGTACTAATAGCTTCGAGGACTTCTGCCTTAACTAGCTGCAGAAATGAACAGCCACAGTAGAAAGTAGCCGTTTGGTCGGATGGGAACATAGGATACACAGAGAGAAAATAGGCCCAAATTAAAGGGCAGGTTAAAAAAATCCACAACTTTTAATGGCCATTCATCACTTCTTTGTTTCCTTTAATTTGTTTTTTGTGGGGATAATTCACTGTTGTTTAACAATGAGCTATTAACCCTAACCCTAAGCTATTAACATTTTCTGTGCCCGTTCTTGTTGCCATTTTGAAATTTCCTAGGTTTGGGCATATCCTTTAGTGCAATGCTCAGAAGCCTGAGGGTTAGAGTGCATTAAAATTAGAGAGTTATCCTCAAGCTTCTATTTTAAGGAGGAGAAAGCCCCACTTACATACACTGGTACTGTACGTTGTGCTGAATGGAGTACCCGGAGCAAATACATCCAGGCTGCCAACTTTAAGCCCCATGGCCACATTGTGCTAGTCCCTCTTGATCCATGTGCTGTGGCATGTTTCCACATCTAGTCCCTTAAAAATGAACTGGGGAAAACTAACCAGCACACCAACTCATGCACCAGAACACCCAGCAAGTATAGTCAGACACCTAAAGTGAAATCCTACCCCATTGAAGTCAGTGGGATTTTTGCCAGTGACTTTAATGAAGTCAGGATTTCACCCCTGGATTGCACTGTGCTACATGTGTGATCAGCAGCATGTGCTAGAAGCAGCTGCATACTGCATCTGTTTGAAGAAGTACTAAGGTGAACTTCAGAATACATTCTCCCCCTCTCCCGCCGAACCAGTCTGCCTTGCACAGGAAGGGTGAATCAGGGCCTCACACCTGACTTGCCCTGATCCCACCTCTAGAGAGGCTAAAGGTAAATGCAGGCTTTTGTCCTATGCCATGTGACACTTCAGTGGTTTGTTTGTGTAAATCATTGAAATTCAGATTTGAAGTCACATCTTTGGCAATCAGACAACTCTGGCATATCAGATCCGATGCGGGATGTTTTACACGTCAGATATGAAGCTTACTGCTATGCAAATATAAAGAAAAATGAGCTGGTACTCAGCATAGCTATGATAGTGATAAAGCAATAGTTTAAAGGGCACATCCAACTGGCTATGTGCTGGAAAAACTTACCTCTATGACATGTTTTACGCACGTGGAAGGGGTGTGTGCACACAAGCGGGCTAGCATAACTTTGAAAATCTAGACCTGAGTGAAAGCTTCTGCAAATCATGTTGTTTGCAGGCCGAATGGGTAATTGTAAGTGCACGGATGTGGAGACAGTAGGCTAGCCCCCCGACAGCCAAAACAGCTGTGATGGATGAGTGGTTAACACATTGGACTCAAAATCAATGGGGTTCCCCCGTGCAGTTTTGAATCTTGCTCACAGTGAGGGGCTGCTTTTGACTGAGTGTCTTTTTCTAAAATACACGCTCTAGGAATTATTTTGGGGGGGCTCTGTGGCCTGTGCTATACAGGAGGTCAGACTAGCTGAGCACAACGGTCCCATCTGGCTTTGGAATCTATGAATCCTCAGCTGGTATAAATCGGCATAGTTCAATTGACTTTAATAGTGCAATGCCAGTTCATACCAGCTGAGGATCTGGTCTTGTGTTTACTGGGAAATTCAGGTTTTGTCAAAAATATGCTCCTCCTTATTCAATGCAATTCAGTAGCAATTAGAGTACTATGGTGCTAAAGCAGATTTAGTATGTATTGAAGAAGGGAACTTCCAGTGTTCAGTATTATATTGTTCTGTAGTAGCGTGATACTCAAACTACCCTATTGCAAGTATTACCATTATTGCTTCTATTAGTACCTTTCAGAATTTGTCTGCGAGAGAGATTATTTGGAATAGATGCAGAATCAAGTGGCCATCCCTTGAATAAATAATATACGTTAAACACTTGGAATATTGCTTTTATTTCATGTATTAGAAAAATTAGTCGTCCAAAGCACTAAACCAATTGATACTGGTTTTGCACACTGGTTGGCAGTCTTGCTGAGGATTGAATGTTCATGGACACTGAACATCCTCTCACCCTTAGCGGTGATCGTTCCAAAGAGAGTTGAATCATGTTAGCAGAGCAACATGGATACGTGTCATATGGCAAGCAGTGCATGTGATGCTTTAGATAGAGATTTCCGAAGTCAAGGATTTCACAAGTCCAAAATGTTTGATGCAAACCAGTAGATGATGGACAATATTCTCCTAAGACATACAGTAGCATTCATCAACATTCAGACTGCTTTGAGGGAAAACAAAGACAACGTAAAAGAAAACAGCTGTAAATACATACAACTTTTCAGTCAACATAGATCAGCGGACCCAAACATTGAGAGCTGAGTTTTCAAAAACAGACACTTAAGATGCAGACACAATATGTGCATGCTGCTGCAAACAGACATGTGCTTGTGCAAATTAGGCATTCTACAGGGGGAATGGATAATTGTGCATCACAGACGGTGTGACTGCGTGCACGGTATATGTTTGCAAGCAAGATTATCTGCTTGTGCATCCATCTGCTTCTGAAAAGTTATGATGCAGAATCAAAGGGGAAAAGCACTTAAAGAAAACAGGAAGGAGATGTGAAATGGGGGAGGAGGGAATAACAGTGAGGCAGGGAGAAAGAATTGAAGGGAGCCAGGTTCATATAAACACCAAGTGCATTAACCACATGGAAAAGGTAGAAAAACTCTCAGACTTCAGTAGCAGAGTTAGGCCAGCATAGAGCACCTTTGAAAATTCCATCCTCAGTTTTCTATCCCAGGCACCAGCCCTAAATAAGCATTTTCAAAGAGGAGGGCTTTTTATTGTTTTTAAAGTGAATTTAAAATAAGAGTAAAGGGTAGAGAAAATAGAAAGTAAACATTTAAATTGAGTGGAGCAGTCAGAGGAGCTGAGCTCCCAACAGAGAGCTTATCCACAGGAGGACCACAGAAATGGTGAATGCGGAGTGCATTCATCGACAGGTACATTATATATCTCTTTGACATACTTATATGACCCCTGTTATCATAGTATCTGAGCACCTCACTGTTCTTAATGTATTTATCTTCACAACAACCCCACAAGGTCAGGAAGTGCTATCCCCATTTTAAAAATGGGAAAATGATGTGTGAAGAGATTAAATGACTTGCCCAAGGTCACACAGGAAGTCTGTGGCACAGCAGGGCATTAAACCCAGGTCTTCCCAGTCTGAGGCTGGCATCCTGCTCACTGGACCATTCTTCCATTATCTTTAGTCTTCCATCACAGGACATTTGCACTGCCATTACTGGAGTTGAACCCATTGTAAAGATTGAGGTTTCCAGTGCTGGAAGCCCAGAACCTTTCATAAACACAAACATTTGATTTAAACGAGAGGGGAATTTTTTTCCTAAAGTCTCCAGGTTTGAGAAAAAGCTGTTGGTTGTTTTTTTAATTTTACAATATGTCAGTATTGCAAACAGGTAATATAATTAAATTTTTAATACATAGTGCAGCATCACCTCGGGAAATTTAACTAACCAAATAACCGTGGTGATTAGTATGATACGTATTGATTTGGGAGCTACTGTTGATCCATGAGTGACTGTACAGCTGTTGATTTTCTCTTGCACTGCACTGTATTGTGTGTTGTGACAAAAAGAGGTCTACTGTCCCAGTTTTGTGGCGTAGCCTTTGTATCTTGTGTGGCTTGTTTAAAGTATAACACGTGCTTTAGAACTGAGACTTTAAAAAGAGCTCTTTATTAATGTGGAATTCAGACTAACTTGGGGATCTTAGCAATTACTTTTGAAGACAACGATAGCAAGGAACTTTTTAAAATCTTGTTTATAAAGTCTTGCAATTATTACATCTCACCGATGTCAAAGATGCATGTTTATCTGCCATTTGAAAAATGCAAACATTTAAAAGATAGGAGAATAATAATGAGGCACACTGACTTGCGTGTCTGTCTGTCTGTGCAGGCCTTAATGCTAGTCTCCCGGTGGCTTTGCATCAGGGTAACTCTATTGCCTTCAATGGAGGTAGTCCTGATTTACACCATTGTAAATAAAGACAGAACCTGGACTATGGCACTGTCTTGTGTTAAGTCATTTTCATTTAGATCTGGTGCTCTTAAGATGTCTTTGACAGCTTGCCTGTCACCAGAGGGTGAATGATGTTATTAACACTCATTGTTATTAGATTCATTATAATTATCCCAGCAGCCCAGAATGAATCCCCTTGTTTTGTGTCCTTGTTGTGTTGTTGCAGCTGGACAGCTGGCTGGTAACTCCTCAGTAGAGATGTATCGCCAAGTGCTCTTGTCAGGCTGCCGCTGTGTGGAGCTGGACTGCTGGAAGGGACGAACAGCAGAAGAAGAGCCCGTCATTACACATGGATTCACCATGACAACGGAAATATCCTTCAAGGTATAATGAGGCAACACAGTGTCACTTTATCTTGGGTAGTTCCTTGCATGTAAAATGTGTCCCAACACATGGCAGAGTTAAACACCTTCATACAGCGAAGGTAGAAGGAAAGAGAAATGGAGGGGCAAAGAGATGTTTTCAGATGAGTGTTGAAAACAGGTGGAGAGTCATTGAAACTGAGATAGAGGGAGGATGTTCCAGTAGTCCAGAGCTGCAAGAAGAAGATCATGAGTGGAGAGATGCCACATTCGGACAGAAAAGAGACCAGTGCTAGATGATAGAGAGAGCAGACAGACATGTATGGAGTCCCTGGCGGGTTTTATAAGCAAGGAGGGCAAGTGTGAACTGAATCTTGAGGTGAATGGGGAGCCAGTGGAATTGTCTGAAGATAGAGGGGATATGGCCACATTTCTTGTATGGGTGATAACAAGAGCAGGGGGATCCTGTATGTGCTGGAGTCTGGAGAACTGGAATTGAAGCCATGACAAAATGAGTCCAAGCAAGAGAAGAAGGCCTGAATGAGGATTTTGACAGAAAAGGGGACAAAGCTCCCTCTCTTCTCTATCTGGCAGGGACTCTTAACTCCCTGCCAAGTTTGCTGTCATGTGTTTTCTTTCCTTTCCGTGGCCTGCAGCTTTACTCATTCCTCTCCCCCTGCAGGTCTGACTGTTAGCACTAAGGTTGCAGAAAGGCCTGCAGGGAGAACGGCTGTGTAGCAGTAGCCCTGGCTGGGAGGATTTAATTGGGGATTGGTCCTGCTTTGAGCAGGGGGTTGGACTAGATGACCTCCTGAGGTCCCATAGATATTCTATGATTCTGTGTGAGGGAGAAAGGAGACAAGAGTGCACACAGCTAGTGGCAGAGGACCTCTTCCCCTCTAGGCATTCAAAAGCTGCCAACACCCTGGCACGTTCAGTGACACTTGAGATGTTATTCCCATGATTCCCCTGAACAGTCTGGTACCCACAGCTTGGGAATCAGTGGGTTAATGGGGAAAGCAGGAAACAAAAATGCTGGAGCTTAGAAGGCAGCAAGATAGTAACTGTAGATAAAGAAATAACAAATTTGTAAATTCCAGGAACTAAAGTGACAATGGACTGCCCATCCAGGTAGCGAGACATTAACAGTGTCAGTGCACAGTAGTAATTGAAACTGGCTAAAAGGCTATCTCACTTTCAGTCTACAGTATGTATTTGATCTGCAGTTTTTGTGCCTCCAGCACAAATGCTAGATAGCGGTAATAGTACATTAGCTAAAATGCTGTGTAAGGGCAGCATTCTAGAGTTCTGAAAGAAATACCTCCAGTTAATTTTAGGTACTTCTTTTCTATGGAAATACAGTTCTAGGCTTACTAATATGCAGAAGATATTTGGGAAAATATCATCCTTCTCTGAAGTATCCTTTTGTTACTGGTGATAGGCTTGGCCACTTTAACAGCTACAGATTTTGCGTGGGTCTCTTTCACCGTAAGGCACAAGTGTTTACTTGTCTTGATAGTCATTCACTTACAACATAAATAAGTAACACAACAACAAAGTATCTATATTTCACTTGCACTGCACTGCTTCTCTGCTTTTTTCACTCTTTCTCTCTAACTCTATGCTGATAGATTTAGTCACAGGAAATTGTAAAATACTACCCCGGCACTATTATTACTAACCTTCCCCATTCACAGTTGAGAAATTAGTTGATGCTGATGTAGAGTTTGGTTTCTGAAAGTTGTTTAATTAAATAAGGTGGTTCTCAACCTCTCCTCAGCCAAGTACAAGAGTATAAAGCAAAACCTGTCTGATTCTTTTAAAGCATACACAAGAATAGGGCCCAGGAGATTTCAGGATCCAGTCCACATCTCGCTGGCATCTGAAGGGGGTGGGAGGGACGTCTGAGTGTAATCAGAATCTTTCAGTCACCCCTAATGCAAACGTCCTTTTACATTTATTTATTTATTTATTGCCGCTTCTCTTTTCACCTCTAAAGTGTATGCTAGGTGAGCAAAGCAGTAGTGATAGAACGCATCAGAGGTGTGTGACTCAGTTCTGAACCATCGTTGGCTCTGGCTGTTGGGTGCTAAGTCACTGAATGGTTCGTGCTTTTGGCGTGGCTGTCACAGGCACTGCTGTTTGCTCAGACCGTTGGTTTTCACTGACGTAAAGAGATTTTCTAAAGTGTAGAGACAAAAAGTAATATGAATCCCCTTTGAGACAACTTCATTCATTCGTTTTTTGTCTCCTCTCGTGACTCAGAGCAATTTGTGAGGCTTCTGACTCCTTCAGATTGGGAGCCACTGCAGGTATATGACCTTATAGCAAAAACAACCATATTCCTCTTGTCAAATTCAGGAGTTGCTTTCTAGATATACGCACTTTCTGTGTCTCTACTTTGGAGAATCATTTCAAGTGAGTCACGCTCCTGCTACAATGAAACATGGATCTTGGCATCATTTCTGCACTGACTGAAGTGGATCTGTATATAAATTTGAAGATGCAGAAAGCTCAGTGTCTCCAAAAGGGCCCATCACTTCATTGACCCAAAGTTTGAATCTCACATCTACAGATTCAGCCAATCCCAGAAGGGTGACCAAGCTCTTACCCTTTCAAGCTGACTTTCCCCCCACTTCATTTTCTCCCCCTGTATTCAGTATTTTATCCCATCTGAGGAGTTGCAATGACAGCCGAGGAAGTAGTTTCATATGACTATACAGAACTAGTCCATAACTGGAGCAAAGCTCTCCTTCCAAGTGCACAATGGGGTGCTTAGCTTTCATACTGTGCTCTTCCCAACACAGGCAGAGCTCCCACTGCTATCCATACTGTTGCGTGGAGCTGAGAAGAGAATTTGGCTCACTGTCCCTCGCAGGTGTCTAAAATGTAACACACGCTGTACCCTTTCACCCGGACATGAGTCACAGGTCTCTTAGAAAGAACATTTCATAGAATGCTATTCGGCCCAAGTCTACTACAAAATGAGAAATAGATCTCTGCAGTAGGGTTAAGGGCCTGCAGCTTGATTATTTTAATTATGCTTTCAGGGGCTCTTGCAGTCCACGTGTGAGAGTGGTGAAGTCTAAAGGGAACGAAAAATAGAGCTAATAAATCTTAAAGATCTAAACTAAACTTTCTGTAGATCATAATGGGTGGGATTTTCAAAAGATCCTTGTCACTTAGGTGCACAAGCCACATTGGCTTTCAGTGGGACTTATGTGCTTACGTCGCACAGGCACTAATAAAAAAATCCCACCCAGTGTCACAAATGTAAGGTGACATCAGTGTTTTGTGATCTACCTGGGCTAGAAGCAAGTTTCATCTAGAATGAGGTATTTTGTACTGTCCAATGGCGTGCAGTGTCTGTTGCTAACTCTCATGGTTCATGAGATATCCGACTGCTTACTTATGTATCATTTATTTATCAGTTTTACTTCTACAAATAAACATGTAACCAGAAACCTATTGCTAGATAGAATCGACCCATGCTAGGCCCTGAGGAGGAAGATTCCACATTTGGGAAAAGGAAAAAACAAATGGCTTTTAAAGCTTTTGAAGCTCAGAGGCTAGAGAATGAGAAGTAATCTTGGTAGAGCTGGGTTAATGATCAGTGTGCCGGTGAGGTAGTTAAGTGTGTAAAGTTTGCTATTTATTATGTGGGGAGTGTGTGCATGTGTATACAGTCATATCACTGGTGAGTCAGTTCTTCAGCTGGTGTAAATAGTCATATCTCCATTGACTTCAGGTCAGGATCTGCTCCATACAGTATAGATATAATCTGATGTTTCTATAGGGAACATCAGGATATACACTCAGTGTTGCCAACTCTTGCTATATTTGGTGTTTTTTCTTAAATCCCTGGGCCCTAGAGTTGTGTGAATGCACCGGAATCTCCGCTTTCATTAAAATAAAATTAATTTCCAACCCTCGTGGTTGTATAGCATAGCTTGGGAAGGTGACTTCTAAAAGTTCAAAAGCCAGAAAGTAAATTAAAAGAACTCTCACTAGATTAAAAAACCCTCATTATTTTGCATTCCATTGTATGATTTTTGGTGCTTGACTCATTATTTTTTTCTAATCACTGTATGGGTATAACAGTCTTCGATGCTCAAGCGAATTCATCTGGAAGCAGGTTTGTATTTCAAGAGGGAAATGTGAATTATTTCTAACAATATGTGCATTGATATAGGATAAAATGGGCACGCAGCTAAAATTAGTGTCATAAAATGATTCCTCCGGTAGATAAACTATTGCCATCTTCAGTCAAGGCTGAAAGGCAGCCTTTACAAATAAATGGTTCCATTTCTGAATATATGTTTTATAGATTATTACATAGTAGGATGCTAAAACTCAATGAAACAGTCTTTTTTGTATTGTGCCTTGAAGGCTTTTCCCACAACAAACAGGAGAGGACTGAAAATTTGTGCATCAGAGTACTACGGATTTTACAACAAAAAAAAAAGAAACGAGAAAAGAAAAAGAAAGATGCTACTTAGAAGATACAACAGGCTTGTCAAATAAAACATGATTATTTTAATTATTCAAAATAATCCATGAAAGGTATAACTTTAGGCATGGAATGAATCATGACCTGCAAAAAGTTCTACAATAAGCTATAGGTTCAGTCACAGAGAGGCACAAAACCACGTTTGGAGTGAGGTAACACTTTGGAGATCAGATTGTAGATCAGACTGTAAAAGCACATCCAGAGCTTTCAAGTTGTTCAGAATAAAAAGTCTGGGCATGGTTTTGGAAGGCACTGAGTTCTCTTGTGTTTGCTTTGCAGATAGATAAGTTAGATCAAGAACCAAAATATATCTCCTGTAGACATAAAGGGTGTGTAACCTATCTGTGTCCTAATTTCTTTAGGAAGTAATAGAAGCTATTGCTGAGTGTGCATTTAAGACATCGCCTTTTCCGATCCTCCTTTCCTTTGAAAACCATGTGGATTCGTAAGTAATTACGGTGTTACAATGTTTATTATACAGTGTTACAATGTCAAGACACAAGATTATTTAGCATTTTTGTTATCTGGCATTATCGTCAATCATCATAATTACTGAATTTGTCATCCTACATGTAAGCCCTTAAGGTACTTGAACATGTGCATAACTTTCAGTATGTGAGTAGTCTGATTGATTTAAATGAGATTACTCATCTTCTTAAAGTTAGGCACAAGCTTAGGTATCTTGCTGGAGCCTTGAATGTGAGGGGAATGTTTTAATAATTATTGGCCAAATTCTCTCACCTGCACTCAGGTTCAATAGTATCTTTCTGCCCAAGTAGCCTCAGTGATTTTAATGGGCTTACTCCTGGAGTAAGGTTCTACTCCAGCAGAGTATGTGAAATTCGCATTGACAGTAAACATAACAAAAATGAAAGAGAGCGCGAGAGAGAATATGCCCCATAATCTATTTTAATGTACACAGCAATTTCCTTGGAGGTGGCACGAGTGTAAACGAGAGTGGAAGTTGTCCACAGTGTGTCTTAGAGGAGAGCCCAGAAGTGGGCTTAGCGTGTGTGTGTGTATGTTGGAGTTGGTCAGTAATTTTTCAACCAAACCTCTTTCTGGCAAAAAATGCAGATTTGTTTAAACCAACACTTTCTTGCATGAAAGGTTCAGTTCTGACAAATTTCCTGATTTAAAAAACTTTTGAGAAAAAAGTCTTGAAATTGTTGAAACGTCTCACTTTGACGCTTTCAACAGAAGAAGTTTTGCTTGTTTGATTTGGAAAGACTTTTCATTTAGAAATTTAGGTGAATAGTAATTTTTTTAATTAAAAAAGCTGAACGCAAAACAAAATGTTTCGATTGACCAGGACCAATTTTTTTTTCTCACATTTTTGGTTTGGGCAAATTTTCAGGATTTTGTCATTCTGTGCCAATGTGGTTGGGAAAAATGTTGAAATCTTGAAAAATCTCCTGTGGAAAAAAACTGTCTCTCCCCTCACCCCTACTTCCCCTCCTCTGAGCTCCAAAATATATATGATTAGTCATGGAGTCGGGAAATATTTTGGGACTCCCTCTTTTTGTGCTATTAGACAAAGATAAAAAGAAAAAGGGATGGATTTGCTTACCAATGGATACTAAATGCACTGTTCTTCATTGCCCACACTGATTGATTCACAGAGCAAAATTAATGTCGAGATATAGCTACTCATCCCTCCTTTTTAGCAGAATCTAAGATCCCATTGTCTTATAGTGAACTGGGGTGTCTCTACATCATAGCAAAACTGTCACCAAAAAAAATTAGGGAAAAATCACATGCATCCCATTTCATCTGCAGTTGACCCATACAACACTGACACTATGCTGATTGTCGGTCTTGCTCCCATTCCCCCTCCAATCACCCCTTTGTATCAACCCCTCCTTCCACTGACGAAAGAAATCAGGAACCCTGGATGATCAGAAGTTTGAAATGTACCCATAGGACCAAATTCAAAGGTGTGGTTAAAGGTAGCAAAATGTGTGGAAGGGAATCTCAGTTTGTCACTTTCACTCTGAGAGACTGGAGAAATGTATTGTACAAGTTAAAGTTGAGGGGTTGACCTATTTTTTCCTACACCTGTTAGTTTCTTTCACTGGTAAAACCTTTATTCTGGCTCCTATGTAAATCACGCCAGCTGACACTCAATTAGACTCCTTTACACGTACCCACTAATGTATAACTTACATCACCTTACACATCAAATCTGAATCTGACCCAGAGTCAACAAACTTTGTTTAGAAAAGGCAGATAGGAGAATCAGCATAATGACCTATTTATTATCTCAACTGTTCAGGTCTACAGGTTAAACAAAAAGCATTAAGGATAAGGTCTTTTCCAGAGCACCAGCCTCCACTTTATTTTAAAGAAACAAAGAAATTAAATTTTTTTTAGAAAAAGAAAGAAATTAATAATTGCAAAAAAGAATACAATTATTTTCAGAAGTAAAATAAGTGCCAAAATATCTTTTAAAAATGGGATTACATTTTAGTCACAACTAGATATGTTGTAAAATTCCAGGAAGATGAAAAACCAGGAGTAGTTTCCACTGGGTTACTCCAGTTTTACGCCAATGTTACCCCATAGAAATCAATGGTGTTTCAGCATCAGAAAACTGCAGTAACAGAGAGATGAATCAGGCCCTACGTGTATTATCTGCAGTGCTCTTTCATGTGTTGTGATGACAATAACAAATTATTAACAAAGGATATTTGGGAAAGCAATATCAAATGTGTTGTTTTATTTGGCTTTAAGGTTGATTAACTATTGGTATTGGTTGTTGTTAACTTTCTGCTGCAATAAATTATCCCATTTAATGTGTGAAGCTTCTAATTTTGCCTTGGCCAAATACCACTTCCAGTTATTTGACTGCATGTTATAATTAGACTTTCATTTCTTCACAAGTTACTGGAGAATACGGCAATTAGTCATGCCAGTCAGAGAATCCCTCATCTAATTTCATGGAATGCTTCTTCTGCCTTTCCGTTTAGATGGAACATTATTTTTCTTTTAGATTTTCATGATCATTCAGGCCTAAATACCAGTTTCTAATGCTAAGTACTTTTAGAGCTTGCACTTTTGGAGAATTTATGTAAATCCTGGTCTCATGGAAGTCAACTCCCAGTTATTTCCGTGGGACCAGAATTTTCCCTGTAATTCTCAGCTATTAGATTTGTCTTCACTGAAAATTTTGGGTGAAATCCCGATTGCATCAAAGTCAATGAGAATTTTGCCATTGACTTCAGCTGGTACATGATTTTACCCTGTATGCTTTGGTCATGTCATTCTTTTTTAGTGACTATTAGATCACCTGAGGTAAATATTTGTTATTACCTTTCAATATTTTTCCCAAAAGGACTTAAACCTCATGGAATTTGATACCATGTGAATTAGCTGCTCCATTTTCCTTACCACTATTCCAATATGTGGCACCATAATCTGCGTGTCATTTTCAGCTTGGACCTCGCTCTTGGTCCACACATCTAGATTATGTCTAAATCTTGATGATTCTTTGTGCACAACATCTCTAAGAGACAGCGTTTTTCCCCCCATCCAGACAGCTAAAACACTTATCCAGGCTCTTATGATCTCATGTCTCAATACTGCAACAACCTTCTCTCTGGCCTTGACAAAGGCAATTTTGCCCTGTTCCTATCCATTCAGAATCCTGCTACTAAGATAATTTTCCTAGTCAGATGCTTTGGCCACGTTTTGCGTTCTTCCACTGGCTTCTCCTTCTCTATCACATCAAACATTGGCTGCTTGTATTCATTTTCAAGGCCCTTCACGGTCAATCCCCACCCTACTTATCATCTCTCTTTCACTGTCAAGCTGTCAAAGCTCACCTCTGATTGGCCAATGATGCCAATCTGCACTGCCCATTTGTTAAACTTTCAAACACATATCTCATACCTCCCCCATCTGTCTGTATTAACCTGTTGTTTCTTGTCTTATATTGTAAGCTCCTTGGATCAGGGATTGTCTTTTTGTGTTTGTACAGCACCTAGCACAATGGATAAGCCTGGATAAGTGTTTTTTTTTAAACAGGGCTCCAGAGGCGATCCTGGCAATTCCAGGCTGACAAGCCTTACTTCAGAACCAGGTTGAAACTATAGCAAAGAACAGAATTATCAGACACATAGATGGTGTTGCGGAAGAGTCAAGATGACTTTTGTAAAGGGAAATCATACCTTGCCAATCTACTAGAATTCTTTGAGGGGGTCAACAAACATGTGGACAGAGGTGATACAGTGTACTTAGACTTTCATAAAACCTTTGATAAGGTCCCTCACCATAGGCTCTTAAGCAAAGCAAGCAGTCATGGGATAAGAGGGAAGGTCCTTGCAAGGATCACTAACTGGTTACAAGAGAAGAAACAAAGGGTTAGGAATAAATGGTCAGTTTTCAGAATGGAGAGAGGTAAATAGCGGGGTCCCCCAGGGATTTGTTCTGAGACTAGTGCTGTTCGACATATTCATAAATAATCTGGAAAACAGGGTAAACAGTGAGGTGGCAAAGTTTGCAGATGATACAAGATAGCTAAATCCAAAGCAGACTACGAAGAGCTACAAAGGGATCTCACAAAACTGGGTGACTAGGTAATAAAATGGCAGATGAAATTTAATGTTGACAAACGAAAAGTAATGCACATTGAAAAACATACTATACATCAAAAATGATGCAGTCTAAATAAGCTGTTACCACACAAGAAAGAGATATTTGGGTCATTGTGGATAGCTCTCTGAAAATATCTGCTCAATAGGCAACAGCAGTTAAAAAAGCTAACAGGATGTTAGGAACCATTAGGAAAGGGATAGGTAATAAGATAGTAAATATCATAAAGCTACTATATAAATCTACCATATGCCCACACCTTGAATACTGCATGCAGTTCTGGTTGCCCCATCACTAAAAGTTGTATTAGAATTGGAAAAGGTACCAAGAAGGGCAACAAAAATTATAAGTGATATAGAAAAGCTTCCGTATGAGTAGAGATTAAAAAGATTTGGACTATTCGGCTCTGAAAAGAGACGATGTGATAGAGGTCTATAAAATCATGAATGGTGTGGAGAGAGTGAATGGGAAAGTGTTATTTACCCCTTCATATAACATAAGAACCAGGGTTCACCCAATGAATGTAACAGGCAGCAGTTTTAAAACAAACAAAAGGAAGTATTGCTTCACACAATACACAGTCAACCTGTGGAACTCATTGCCAGGGGATGCATAAAACTATTAACTGGATTCAGAAAAGTACTAGATAAGTTCATGGAGGCCATCAGTGGCTATTAGCCAAGATGGTCAGGGACACAACCCCATGTGCTAAGTGTCCCTAAGCTTCTGACTGCCAGATGCTGGGACTGGACTACAGGGGGATGGATCACTCGATAATAGCCTGTTCTGTTCATTCCCTCTGAAACACCTGGCAAATGGACCATTGGTCTGACCCAGTATTACCATTCTTATGTAATGGGGTTCTGGTCCATGACTAGGTCCTTGGCACTGATGATAATAATAATCATAAAAAATAAATGTCATTCATGACTCACTAAGGCATCCAGTATTGTGTGTAGGTTTTACAGTAGAGAAAATAATTATAATGTTAAGATATATCATCATTTAGTAATGAATATTGAGGTCAAAGGCAGCATACTGAAAAAAACAGCACTAAGAAATGGACCCACAAAATGGAGTGGGGGGCGGGGAAACATTTAGACCCTTGAAAGCATTGGAAAAGCCTCAGAAAGACCTTGAGTTTTGAAGTGAGATTAATACAAGGTATCTAAAAATCTGAAGGCAGACACCTCTATAATTAGAAACATACTCATGACCTAGCAGCTAAAAGGTTAAGTAATCCTTGGACAATATCCCTCTAAGATCCATTTTAAGATTAAACTTAATTAAAGGCAAACTCACCTTGCTGTTTTCTGTCTAGAATTAGTATTACAAATATTAATAGATGTTATGCTCTCTGGAGTGGCTCACAGCCTTGAGTGCTTACCTCAGGGCAGACACTCCAAATTGATGCTGTGATCTAAAATTAGATTTCACCAAGCCAGTAACAAATGTGAACTCCAGGATCACTACTGCAGTCCTTCCATGGAGTCACAGACAGTCCCCTTAGCCTCTCCAGTCTGTCTTGACACTCAGACAAACTGGACTTAGTGATAAATTGTCACTTACGCTAAAAATCACACCACATTCAGATTGCTTCCAGTCCCAAGAGATCAGCCACTCAGATCAACTGGTACCCTAGATTTTACACCAAAGACAGCATCTGTAGCAGTCCTGTAATAAACTGTCTAAAGGTTTATTAACTAGGAAAAAGAAATAAGAGTTATTTACAGATTAAACCAAGCAAATGTATACACACAAATGAGTTACCATTTAAATCCTAAGAGTGATGGAGCTGTAGTGATTTATCAATTCAAAGTGTCTTTCAGATAGAACCTTGGGGATTTCTGCCTCCATTTAGAGCCTCTGGCCCTAAGAGTTCAAACAGCGAAGGGTGAGATGGAAACTTCTTGTTTTATTTCCTTCATTCAGCTTCCAAGTCCACCGGAGGACCTTCCTTGCATGTAGCATTTCGCAGGTGTGATGTGGCCATTAACCAAGCCTTTGTATGGTGATGTTCCTGGATGGCCCATCTGATTTTGATAGTCCTTCTGGATGGAGGGTGGAGTGGGGGATGATTCCCATGCCGGGGCTCACTAGTTCAGAGCAAACATTTTCAAAGTTATAAAACAAAATCTACAGATTTTCTGATCACATGGAATACCGACATTACAAGTGAGATTAAGGCATGCAGCAATTTACAAGCATCTCATAGAATAAAAAACACTAAATACATTCTTATAAGACTAATACCTATTTTGAGCAAAACTAAAATACAGGTGAACTGTTCTGGTCTTCAGCTATGAGGCTGTTAGTCCTTAGCTAATGCCTGCAGTCTTGGCAAGAGCTGGCACCTGGTTTGCCAGAGTTTCAATAGTGCTTTTAGCAAAGTTTCTTTTTCAGAATCCTCTTTACAATCTTTTAAACTTCTGGGGAAGGACTGTGACTTTATGCATGGCTGGTACAGCAGTAGGCACATTGTCAACAGTTCATAAATAATAGGCTATTATTATATGTAATGCCTAGGAGACCCAGTTATAAAGTAGGACTGCATTGTACTAGGTGTTGTACATACACAAAACAAAAAGAATGGTCCTTGTCACAGAATTTCACAATCTAAGTAAAGGGACAAATATCAGTTTGTGTATTTCCTGCTTAACACATATTGAAAGTACAAAGGTATTACGCTCCTCCTTTATCTTGTAAATAAAGTCCTTTGCCATTGCACCTTTTGGGGGGGTTCTCCATTTCGCATACTGCTGGTACAATTCCATACAGTACGGATCATTACTGCGTGGCTCAGTATGTTATAAACTGTTAGTTCTTCACACACTGAGAAGTGAGATAAATAGAGAGAGAGTTCGATGTGGGGTTAGGACAGGATTGTACAATTTCCTTCTAGTACTACTTCTAGTGAGGATAGTTCTAAACCTAAATTCTCTCTGAAGTGCTATAAGATTTTGCTGTTGTGTAGGAGTGAAACTCTCACTACCTCCAGACATCTGGGTTTTTTTTTTCTGTTGATGTGCCCTTTTAAAATCTAATCTTATGCCTGTTCCTAAGTTTTAGATAATGTGGGGTTTGGTTTAAAGAGGAACAGACTTTGAACATCATACTCTCTAGGAGTCTGGATCCGTTAGAAATACATACTAGTTGAGAAAATTAAGATGAACTTGCCTACAAATCCCCACTCACCCACCCACTTTCCACAGAGAGCTAGGGGTGTTTTGTGCACCCTGTCTGTTTTATTTGTTTGAAAAGGAGCTGCCAGTTAGATAAGGACTATAACACTCTACCTTCACCCCCAAGTCACTGCATTCTCCACCAACCCTTCTCTTGAGGGCTCTTAGCTCTCTTTGCTTCCTACGCATCTTTCTAATATTATGCCTGAGACTGAACCTGCATCTTAACTTTCTTGCAGAACTGGCTAACTTTAAGCGACAGCATTAACAAAATACTGCAGTGATGAAAAACGTAGCGGTTTAAAACCCCACATAGCTTTGTGGAATCATTTAAAATCTGCATCCATATGTACTGTGGGCAACTGAAGTTTGTGACTGTTTTAACCTATGGCTGCTAAAGACAGAATCCCCCAAATGGGAGCAATGCTGAACTTTGGGAGATTCCGATTCTGAGTTAAATGACATCCAGGCTTGGTCCTATCTCTGATTTACTCACTGTGTCACCAGCTATCTTTCCATTACCAACTACACTGCTGGCACACAATGAATAATTAGTGACCATAATAAGAGGGCAAGCTGGGCAACAGAATGGGGTGTTCAGTAATGTGAACAGTGCATATTGCTGAACTGCAAGTTTATCCAAACACTTTTGGCTAGATTCTCATTTACACTAAGGTTCTTTCACGCTGCCCTGGTAGTACACTAGAGCTAGTACAATAGGGTAGTTTAAAGTAGATGCACTAGTTTATTTGTGTTTGTAAAAGGTTAGTCGAGAAGTAGATTAAAAATTGTTCCTGTCAGCTGGGCAGTTGTCCTTTCAACTAGAGCTGGTTGGGAATTTTTGGATGAGTTGTTTTTCATTGAAAAATGCAGATTCATCGAAATCCAAACTGTTCATGAAACAGGGTGTGGTTCGATGAATTTTCCAACTTAACAAAAAGAAGAAAACATTTCATTTCAGAATGTTCAAAATAAAAAATCCTGTTTTCCTGTTCCAAATGTCCTCTTAAAAGGTTTTACAAAAGAAAAAAATGTCAACACTGAAAATGTATTGTTTCAAACTGACCAAAACCAAACGTTTCAATGACCAAAACTGAATTTTTTTTGGGGGGAGGGGTTGGCCTTTTTTGGTTTATGAATATTTTCAAAATTTTCAACTTTTTCTCCAAATTGAGAAACAAAAAACAAAACAAACCCCACAATGCTCAAAAATATTCACGAGACTAGAAAACTGTTTCCCACCCAGCTCGAGTTTCAACCTCCTGTGAGGAGATATGATTGTAACAGCGGGGTTCCCAAACGTTGTGATACACGGGACTGTAACTTGCCAGAAAAAACCTAGGGCCTCACCTCTTCTATATTAATTTATATAGATACATTCTGTTATCAACAATAGATGCAACGATAACTGTTTGGCGTGTCCATGTGTCGTCCATGATCTCTGAACAGAAATTGCTTTTTTTTTTATTTCACTAACGAAACAAACCCTGTAGTTGAACAGTTTTAACCTGTCCCTGTGGTTATAAAAAAACTGGAGCTGCAGACCGCATTCTAAGGCTATGCAAGTGGCATTTATTATAACCTATCTGTAGTCCTAAAACTCCCAAAACAATGATATGTAGACATAATTTCACTCTTGGTTTGCACTTTGGGTAAACTGGCCGTAAGCACAGTCTGCTCAGTTTGACTTATCCCTAGTGGATGTCATGAAAACCACCAAAGTAATTTACTGTAGTACAATATGATATAGGTAGACAAGCGTCTGATAAGGGGCAGTCTCAACAGTGGTCCACACTACAGGCTAAAATAATTATCCAGCTACTTGCTCCAGGAGCTTGTTGCTAAGGCCAGGTCTACGTTAGGAAGATGTTGCTGATCAGTATAGCTTTTCCAGCAAAGCTCTCCTATACCAAAAAACTGTGCTTATGCCTGTTTCCCAAACACCATATAAGATATATCAGCCTAAGCAGAATTATGCCATTATGACTGCGCTGAAAATAGGTCTTTTGCCAACAAAGCTATGGCAGTAAAAAAAACAAAACCACTAGCTAGTATCTAGTGTAGAACTGGCCGGAGGGTGACCATGTTTGAGAAAGTTTCTATGTGACTCTGTGCAAGATGTTGGAAGTGCCGTTGAAAAGGAAAACCCCTTTTCTCTTTTTTGTCTCTTCTGCTTTACATTCTCAAGTTACAAAGAAGAAAAGCAAAAGGGGGGTGGGGGGGAATAAAGGCATAGATATACCTTGAAAATCCTTGATGTGACCTAAAAGTATGATGAAGGAAAACATATTTAAATAGGTTGTCTAAAGAGCCAAACATGTATAACAGTTTATTTCTATCACTCCCACAACTGATATATTCAGTTTTTATATTCTGTAAAGTGCATGTGAATATTTGTCTCTATGTGACAAGGTCAGTTTCACTATTTATGACTTCAAATGGCCAGTGCCTTTATTGTACTATTTCATGTATAAGCTCTATGATAAGAGCTGTCAGAGAAGTCAGAATAATTGTATGATGAATCAAGATCATTGTGAACAATTTACAATGATAGGATCAGGAAATTATCCTTTCATCGAGTTAAGGGATATTAGATTTTTCCATTACTGCTGCTTTCAGCTTGCAGTATGAATAAGTCTCACTTAATTCTATCCTTTCCCCCCTTCTAGCCCTAAGCAGCAAGCCAAAATGGCAGAATATTGCAGATTAATTTTTGGAGATGCACTGCTCATGGATCCACTGGAAAAATACCCAGTAAGATGGTTTGGTATTTCCCTGATCATAAGCATATGTATGAATATGTATTTGCATATTTCAGTTTTCTGTTGCTCTTCATATACCGCCTTACAAGATTGAAGCTGCTGGATTTTTGGGTTTGGGGTTTTTAAAAGTAATGTATGCTATTATTGGTTTAAGCATATGGTTTCTGATCTGGAGATTATTGTGAGCTAATCCTCTAAATCAAAATTGGCTCTAACATCTACTCTTTTATAATCTGGGCTTTCACATTGGAAATAATACTTCTTATGGTTACTGTTGTAGATTTTTCATAGTGCATTTTTTCTTTATCTTCTAAAGCGCCTTCATTGGTGCTGTTTTGTTTAGCACAGAGCCTACCTGTTGTGCAAACCACGCTTCATCTTAAAATGGGGTTACATTTTGGATTGCACAACTGTACATCATGGGGAGAATGAGAAGCTGGCGTGGGACCATTTTATTTATTACACATCTCTCCTTCTTTCCTCTAAGCTTGAAAGTGGCATTCCCCTTCCAAGCCCTATGGACTTAATGTACAAAATTCTGGTGAAGAATAAAAAGAAATCACAAAAGTCTGCCGACGGAAGTTCAAAAAAGAAGCTCTCTGAGCAAGCTTCCAACACGTGCAGTGATACATCCAGTGGGTTTGAACCCTCATCTCCTGGAGCAGGTAAAAGTTGAACTCCCAAATACATTACTGCCTGAAACATAAGGAGCCCAATTGTGATTGACACTAAGTCTTGTTTACACCACTCTGTAAGTGTAAAGGTGCCTCAGTGTGGGTCTAGCCCAATAGCTGGTACGTTATTTAGTTAGGGCAAAGTGCTGTCCCCCTTTCAAAAGCCAAGTCAACAGGCTTTGCTCAAGATCTAAGCGAGGTTGAGGCTCAGGGGTATTTCCTGCTAATCATAGAATCATAGAATATCAGGGTTGGAAGAGACCTCAGGAGGTCATCTAGTCCAACCCCCTGCTCAAAGCAGGACCAATCCCCAACTAAATCATCCCAGCCAGGGCTTTGTCAAGCCTGACCTTAAAAACTTCTAAGGAAGGAGATTCCACCACCTCCCTAGGTAACGCATTCCAGTGTTTCACCACCCTCCTAGTGGAAAAGTTTTTCCTAATATCCAGCCTAAACCTAATATCCAGCCTAAACCTCCCTCTTTGCAACTTGAGACCATTACTCCTTGTTCTGTCATCTGCTACCACTGAGAACAGTCTAGATTCATCCTCTTTGGAACCCCCTTTCAGGTAGTTGAAAGTAGCTATCAAATCCCCCCTCAGTCTTCTCTTCCGCGACTAAACAATCCCAGTTCCCTCAGTCTCTCCTCATAAGTCATATGTTCCAGTCCCCTACTCATTTTTGTTGCCCTCCGCTGGACTCTCTCCAATTTGTCCACATCCTTCTTGTAGTGTGGGGCCCAAAACTGGACACAGTACTCCAGATGAGGCCTCACCAATGCCAAATAGAGGGAAACAATCACGTCCCTCGATCTGCTGGCAGTGCCCCTACATATACATCCCAAAATGCCATTGGCCTTCTTGGCAACAACGGCACACTGTTGGCTCATATCCAGCTTCTCATCCACTGTCACCCCTAGGTCCTTTTCTGCAGAACTGCTGCCTAGCCATTGGGTCCCTAGTCTGTAGCGGTGCATGGGATTCTTCTGTCCTAAGTGCAGGACTCTGCACTTGTCCTTGTTGAACCTCATCAGATTTCTTTTGGCCCAGTCCTCCAATTTGTCTAGGTCCCTCTGTATCCTATGCCTACCCTCCAGCATATCTACCTCTCCTCCCAGTTTAGTGTCATCTGCAAACTTGCTGAGGGTGCAATCCACACCATCCTCCAGATCATTTATGAAGATACTGAACAAAACCAGTCCGAGGACCGACCCTTGAGGCACTCCACTTGATACCAGCTGCCACCTGTACATGGAGCCATTGATCACTACCCGTTGAGCCTGACAATCTAGCCAGCTTTCTATCCACCTTATAGTCCATTCATCCAGCCCATACTTCTTTAACATGCTGGCAAGGACACTGTGGGAGACTGTGTCAAAAGCTTTGCTAAAGTCAAGGAACAACACGTTCACTGCTTTCCACTCATCCACAGAGCAGGTTATCTCGTCATAGAAGGCAACTAGATTAGTCAGGCATGACTTGCCCTTGGTGAATCCATGCTGACTGTTCCTGATCACTTTCCTCTCCTCTAAGTGCTTCAGAATTGATTCCTTGAGGACCTACTCCATGATTTTTCCAGGGACTGAGGTGAGGCTGACTGGCCTGTAGTTCCCCGAATCCTCCTCCTTCCCTTTTTTAAAGATGGGCACTACATTAGCCTTTTTCCAGTCGTCCGGGACTTCCCCCGATCGCCATGAGTTTTCAAAGATAATGGCCAATGGCTCTACAATCACATCCACCAACTCCTTTAGCACTCTCGGATGCAGCGCATCCGGCCCCATGAACTTGTGCTCGTCTGACTTTTCTAAATAGTCGCGAACCACTTCTTTCTCCACAGAGGGCTGGTCACCTCCTCTCATGCTGTGCTGCCCAGTGCAGTAGTCTGGGAGCTGACCTTGTTCGTGAAGACAGAGGCAAAAAAAGCATTGAGTACATTAGCTTTTTCCACATCCTCTGTCACTAGGTTGCCTCCTTCATTCAGTAAGGGACCCACACTTTCCTTCACTTTCTTCTTGTTGCTAACATACCTGAAGAAACCCTTCTTGTTACTCTTAACATCTCTTGCTAGCTGCAACTCCAGGTATGATTTGACCTTCCTGATTTCCCTCCTGCATGCCCAAGCAATATTTTTATACTCTTCCCTGGTCATTTGTCCAATCTTCCACTTCTTGTAAGCTTCTTTTTTGTGTTTAAGATCAGCAAGGATTTCACTGTTAAGCCAAGCTGGTCGCCTGCCATATTTACTATTCTTTCTACACATCGGGATGGTTTGTCCCTGTAACCTCAATAAGGATTCTTTAAAATACAGCCAGCTCTCCTGGACTCCTTTCCCCTTCATGTTATTCTCCCAGGGGATCCTGCCCATCAGTTCCCTGAGGGAGTCAAAGTCTGCTTTTCTGAAGTCCAGGGTCCGTATTCTGATGCTCTCCTTTCTTCCCTGTGTCAGGATTCTGAACTCGATCATCTCATGGTCACTGCCTCCCAGGTTCCCGTCCACTTTAGCTTCCTCTACTAATTCTTCCCGGTTTGTGAGCAGCAGGTCAAGAAGAGGTCTACCCCTAGTTGGTTCCTCCAGCACTTGCACCAGGAAATTGTCCGCTACACCTTCCAAAAACTTCCTGGATTGTCTGTGCACCGCTGTGTTGCTCTCCCAGCAGATATCAGGGTGATTGAAGTCTCCCATGAGAACCAGGGCCTGCGATCTAGTAACATCTGTTAGTTGCCGGAAGAAATCTAATGACCTGGTGCATTGTGTTGTGTGCGATACATTTAGGCCCCCTCCCTTCTTCCCCCCCCCACACACACTTGGGGAGTTTAGTATATGATCAGCTCCTCCAGCCTGCCATTGCCATGTGCCCAAACTTCCAATGCAAAGGGAAGCACCATGGAGCAGAGCTTTGGGCCAAAAGAAATCTGATGAGGTTCAACAAGGACAAGTGCAGAGTCCTGCACTTAGGACGGAAGAATCCCATGCACCGCTACAGACTAGGAACCAAATGGCTAGGCAGCAGTTCTGCAGAAAAGGAACTAGGGGTTACAGTGGACGAGAAGTTGGATATGAGTCAACAGTGTGCCGTTGTTGCCAAGAAAGCCAATGGCATTTTGGGATGTATAAGTAGGGGCATTGCAAGCAGATCGAGGGACGTGATCATTCCCCTCTATTCGACATTGGTGAGGCATCATCTGGAGTACTGTGTCCAGTTTTGGGCCCCACCTTACAAGAAGGATGTGGATAAATTGGAAAGAGTCCAGAGGAGGGCAACAAAAATGATTAGGGGACTGGAACACATGACTTATGAGGAGAAGCTGAGGGAACTGGGGATGTTTAGTCTTCAGAAGAGAAGAATGAGGAGGGATTTGATAGCTGCTTTCAACTACCTGAAAGGGGGTTCCAAAGAGGATGGCTCTAGACTGTTCTCAGTGATAGCAGATGACAGAACAAGGAGTAATGGTCTCAAGTTGCAGTGGGGGAGATTTAGGTTGGATATTAGGAAAAACTTTTTCACTAGGAGGGTGGTGAAACACTGGAATGCGTTACCTAGGGAGGTGGTGGAATCTCCTTCCCTAGAAGTTTTTAAGGTCAGGCTTGACAAAGCCCTGACTGGGATGATTTAGTTGGGGATCGGTCCTGCTTTGAGCAGGGGGTTGGACTAGATGACCTCCTGAGGTCCCTTCCAACCCTGATATTCTATGATTCTATGAAGCATGCAAGGGATATGACTTCCATGAAGGGCCTTTCTGCGTATTAGCTCCGTGCACAGTGAAACTGCAGTGGTTCTTCTGTATTTAAGACTGAATGCAGGGGGCGATTTGGCTCTCAAAGTCCCAGAGCCCCATTCACTGCTGCCTCACATCTAGTAGGGTCACATGTACCTGTGTAAAGTGGGTGTAAAATGCTAGCACATCAGAATGGTATCATTTTACATCCACTTACATTGCACTGGGGAAAATGACTACACAAGTTGCAGGGCCAGGGTAAATCAGGCCCTACATCTTGTATTACTTCATGGTATATTTCTCAGCTCAATGCACCACTATTTAACCATGTGACTCCCATTAATTCCCACTCCTCCATATGAAAGTACACTGCTCTGTTTCCATTTTACTCACCTAAATATAACAAATAAATTGATAGCACGGGCTGTGCATTCCTCTGGACAGAGAGCGGATTAATTTTTCCAAGACACCACAGTCACCAATACATGGATGTAGATTATTTGCATTTAGTTAGCTTTGATTTCTTTAATTATCATCACACTGTACTCTTACTTTTATACTTGTAGCTGCTCCCACCCACCCGCAATGCACAGTACAGACAGTTCATGCAGCTAGAGTTTACACTATTCCTATTGTAAACCTCCTGTACTGAAGAAGGTAAAAAACTTGCTCCAGGCTAAAACTGGGCAAACTAAGTAGAAGAGCAATTTCCAATAAATAAAATATATAAAAGTATCTTTATCTGCTTTTGATTTGAGAGCTATATATCTATATATCTATCTACCTGAGTTATCTAAGGTTTGTTCTGCACTCCTATAACAAACCACATTAAATTGTTGTTTTTTTATGTTCCTATGTTCTAGTGAGAAACATAATATTGAAACTAAATATCCAGTACAATTGGTGATTATAGGGATCTTAGCCAATGGGAAGCAGTAGGTAATACTTCATTTCTTGTTGGTCACTAGCTGGTTTCTTGAATGCAGATTTAGAACAGGAAGGTTATCATCATGTATTAGTTGTATCATGATAGTGCCCAGAGATCCCATGTGAGATCAGAGACCAGTTGTGCAAGGCACTGTTCACACACATAATAAGAGAAATCTCTGCCCTGGAGAACTTACATCCTAAACAATTATTATAGGCAGGTAGCGCTGCCCAAAATTAAGGTTGTCTAACACTTTTCATTATAAGACCCTGTTTTCCGTTTCTTATAACTTTGCCAAACTTTAAGCATTAGGGGTGACATTTTCTATGCCAGGTGTCAGCCAGTCATGTAATTAAAAACTATCATTATGCATACACACAAGACAGCCGTATTATGGTAGCACAGGCAACTTCAGTTCTGCCATTTCCTAACTTTTGACTGTGTGATTTTTGCAAGCTTAAAATTCCTTTAATGTAGGTTTTTAAAAATCTATTATTTAAATGTATTTATAGCAGTATACAGGACTTGTGAGAATAAGGACTTGCCTTGACAAGCAGTGTTGCATAGTCAATAAAGCACTGGACTGGGACTTGGGAGACCTAGCTTCTATTCTTTGCTTGCCCATGGGCCTGCTGGGTGACCTTGGGCAAGTCTTGTCACTGCCTTGTGCCTCAATTTCCCCATCTGGAAAATAAAGATAATGATTCTGACCTCCTTTGTTAAACACCTGTGAGATCTGTGGATGAAACGTATTGAATAAATCCTGGGTATTATTATTACATGAGAAAGTTGAGCCCGTTTAATTATAGGTGCGATTTAAAACCATTTTAGTCAAACTGATGCAAAAGGTGCGGAGACTTGTATTTCATTTTAAGCTAGGCTTATTTGGCTTTAGTTGAAATTGATTTGGGACAGTCTTAAAGATGACTCTTGGATGTACTTATAAGCAAAATATAGCAGCAAAATATTATTATTTATAACCCAAAAACAGAGTGTTCAGAGAAGGCTTTGCACCTGATTCACTACATTGGTTTATAAACCAATTTAAGTCACTTTTCTGTGAGTTGAAAATGCCTGTATACCACCAGCGTCACTGCAGCATTGTATGCTGGCCAAATCACCAGACGTTTGAGAAATTGGTTTGGATTAGAGTTTCATTTTGGAAAAAGAAAATCTCATTCCTAGCATTGTGGTATTGTGGTATTTTGTTTCCTTTTCATATTACCTCTGTACGCGGTAGGTTGTTTTTCATGGGCTTGACGTGGACGGATTGTTTAATATAAAGGCCCAAAGCAACTGACAGTTTAAAGCAGCCAAAGTTTGGATAACTGCTAAGTGCCTGGCTAACACTTAAAAATAGTGGGGCAAATTCTTAACCCTTCCCTCTTAGGGTGAGATTCACTATGGTCTGCAGAGGAACTACTCACGGAGAGTTGCAGGAATGCTAGGGGAAGATGAAGGAGGCATATGTGCTCCCTGGGTGACTGAGTAAAAATGGATTAAAGCTTTTAGAGCTAGCTCCTCAGCTGGTGTGAATCAGCATTGGGTTGTTGTAGTCTGAGGAGCTTTGCCGATTTAAACCAGCCGAGGAGCTGGCGCATTGCCAGCTGTCAGCAAGTGACCACTTTAAATTTACAAGCTAAATAAAATGAACTCCTAAATCTAAAAAGTATGTCAGCACTGAAAGGTATCCAAAGAGTAAATAAAAGGTGCTTTCCCGCACAAGGTGTTCCTGCAGGTCTTCAGTTGATTGAGCTATTTTGGTGCAGTTTAGACCGCTAACAGAGCTGCACAAGTGAATTTTAAACTTTTTTTCACTCAGATGGGGATTTGCAAAGGGGCCTAAGGCGGTTCTGAATTTCATTCAATGTTGGACACTTACTTATCTTAGGCTTCTTTGGAAACCCCAGTATCTAGCACCATCTCTTATCTTACTGTATACATCGTGCTCAAATATCTGTAGTCAGACTCTGTTCAACTAGCCTTTCCCGCCCATGGTTTTCGACGTAGCTTCATATAACGTCATAAATCCAGATCCTTAGCTGGTGTAAATTGCAGAACAACAACAGTCAATGGAGCTATGGCTACTCAAGTTGAGGATCTGACCCGTAGTTTCTAAAGCTGCATTAATTTGCAGTATTTGTCTGTAGACCCTTACATGTACATAAGAGGGAATGAACAGAACAGGTAATCATCAAGTGATCCATCTCTTGTTGCCTATTCCCAGCTTCTGGCAAACAGAGTGTTCACAGCTGCAGCTTATGCTGTCCTAGGAGAACTTTTGTAAGTGAGAATTGATCTAATTGGGATTTTTCAGTTAAACCTTTTCAAATAAATAGGTAATATGTTGCAGATTTCCCTCCATGGACACATCTGGTGGTGATAAGCTGCCAACCAATGGGTGCCACCAATATATACTAATCTCAGCAGGGCAAAAAGTTTGCCATAATCTGCCTCTTCTTCTCGTTTAATGGACTCTAGGAAGTGCTTTTTGCTAATCTAAATGAATAAATTAAGAGATTCATAGCCAGTGGCTGTTACTGCAAATCCAGCGAGAACACTTCAGGCTCTTAGCAATACATTAAAGTTCCCCCAAACTATCCCCTGAGCCTGTTGAGCGCTCATGTTATTTTCTTCAATGAAATGTTCAAACAAAGATTTGTTCATGAAAAAAGGCATGGCATATCAACACCAGTGTCTGGGAGAAAACCCAGCCTGGGGAATCATAGCTCGATTGAGAAAGTAGCCCACGTTGCTTTCATTATATATGCTCTACATAGTCAACAGAGGTCATTACGTTGACTTCAGTGGGCTTTGAATCAGGCCATGAATTGAGATGAAGAATCAGGACTGAATTATCTCTTCCCCCCAAGGAGGAAGGTTGTGGCATTGTGGATGAATTCTCACATTGCAGTTTGTTTTTGCAGCAGGCAAGGATGTTAGCTGTTCCTGATGCCAAAAGAAAATTGCTTTGCCATGGTTAACTGAGAAAAGTGAAAACCGTGGGCAAAAGGTTGTGAAATAAAAAGATTCATGCAGCCTGTAATAAAACATACTGACCTAGCAGGTCCATCTAGGGATCTGCGCGTAAGTTAAAGCTCAGTTTTGATGGCTTCTTTCTGAAAGTAAAACCTACAGTAGAAATTTCTAAGGAGAAAGATAAGGCTGCAATTTTTGTTGAACGTGATTGTTTCTGGAAAGCACTATAATAAGACTATTTTGTTTAGGGGGAAAATGTTTCTTTGATTTAGTAACAAATTAATCTGTCTTGCCAATAGGGTTTAAATTGGTATAACATAACTGAGAACAAGGCTTAAAAATCTATGTGATTCAGTCTCATCTACTCATTCAGTACTTTTTGAGTAAAAGAATGATATTTAAGCAGCTTCTTCACATTATTTAGTTTGCATTGCCGTCTGCTGGTGAGTGTGTGATATGCCACCTCAGCGCTGAGGGCTAGAAAAATATGCAGGGACAGAACTTCGATTGGTGTACATTGAAATAGCTCCATTGAAATCAAAGGAACTATTGCCAGTTGACAGCAGCTGAGTATCTGCCTCACAATTTTCAATATATTATGATAAAAAATATTAAATATTTTAATTTAACCCAAAATATTATTTACTGAATAAGTACATTGTTGTTAGTAGTAATAACTAAGTTTATTACAGTAGTGCATAAGGACTAATGGAGAATGCAGCCCCATTGTGCTAGGCACTGTACAAACAAAGACGTTACAGTCTAAGTAATGGTACTTATATAGCCTCCATTGCCATGGTTTCTCAGGATCTTTAATGTATTTATCCTTACAACACCCTTAGGGAAGTGCTATTATCCCCATTTTACAGATAGAGAACTGAGGCATAAAGAAAAAGGTAAGTGACTTGCCCAACATCACACAGGAAGTGTGTGGCAGAGGAGAGACTTGAACTCAAATCAGCCAAGTCCTAACCATTGAACTATCCTTGGTTAATAATATGTGATATTGTATATTGTATATGCACAGACTATCAAAATGCAGCATTCTTTTTTCTTTTTTTTAGTTCATTATTCTAACATCTAAACTGCTGTTCTGAATCACTGTTTTGTTGACCACAAAAGTCCTTTACAAAGACACAAAGGGGTTGTTTGTTTGATAGGCAAATTCCCCAAAGTAAGTCAGCGATGTTGAGGATGGCTAAACCACTCAAGACAGTGAATTTGGTGTGTTATATAAGAGGCAGTCCCCCTAAAATGTGGAACCCTCTAAAGCAACAGCACTTGAAGGTGTCTATCAAGAATAGTCTTGGTATTTATAATCATTGTTTCAGCCAATAATTGTATTGTAATTAAAATGTTGCAGGAGAAGCAGAGATCGAGAGTGACGATGACGATGACTATGATGATGACTGCAAAAAATCGTCAACAGATGAAGTAAGGAATTAAACATTTTGAAATAGCGGTGGAGTGATTCTGGTCCTTTAATTTGGCTTGCATTACTAAGTGTTGGACTGCCATCTAGTGGAGAAAGGAAGACATGCCCTTAAAACATAATACAAACTTTAGAAATATTTGCCAATAGTCCTAAAAGAATTCGCTGTAGCTCACGAAAGCTTATGCTCAAATAAATTGGTTAGTCTCTAAGGTGCCACAAGTACTCCTTTTCTTTTTGCGAACACGTGTACACTGTTGCTCACTTTATTCATATTTTAACTAAGTAAAATAAGATATAATGAATCAGTTTTAGACAGCTACTTCTTTATTATATGTGTGTATATACATATATATGTATGTATATATGTGTGTATCTCTCTCTCTCTCTCTCTCTCTCTCTCTCTCTCTCTTATATATATATATATATATATATATATATATATATATACAGCTTATATATAACTATGCTGTGACAGCTCTGTGGTGAAATCTGTAGGAGACACATTTATTATTATTAATTTATATGGGTGCTCACAATGTGCTCGGCACTTTTCAGAAGATAAGATAAGGCAGTCTGTTCCCCAGGAATCTTATAGGCATGTATAAAGTATTAAAATACCAGCTATGTGATTTAGCTTTTAAATAGAGTGGTAAGGTCTCCTCTTCATAGAATCATAGAATAATCAGAGTTGGAAGGGACCTCAGGAGGTCATCTAGTCCAACCCCCTGCTCAAAGCAGGACCAATCCCCAACTAAATCATCCCAGCCAGGGCTTTGTCAAGCCTGACCTTAAAAACCTCTATGGAAGGAGATTCCACCACCTCCCTAGGTAACGCATTCCAGTGCTTCACCACCCTCCTAGTGGAAAAGTTTTTCCTAATATCCAACCTAAACCTCCCCCACTGCAACTTGAGACCATTACTCCTTGTTCTGTCACCTGCTATCACTGGGAACAGTCTAGATCCATCCTCTTTGGAATCCTCTTTCAGATAGTTGAAAGCAGCTATCAAATCCCTCCTCATTCTCTTCTGCAGACTAAACAATCCCAGTTCCCTCAGCCTCTCCTCATAAATCATGTGTTCCAGTCCCCTAATCATTTTTGTTGCCCTCCGCTGAACGCTTTCCAATTTGTCCACATCATTCTTGTAGTGTGGGGCCCAAATCTGGATGCAGTACTCCAGATGAGGCCTCACCAATGTCGAATAGAGGGGAATGATCACGTCCCTCGATCTGCTGGCAATGACCCTACTTATACATCCCAAAATGCCATTGGCCTTCTTGGCAACAACGGCACACTGTTGACTCATATCCAGCTTCTCATCCACTGTCACCCCTAGTTCTTTTTCGGCAGAACTGCTGCCTAGCCATTTGGTCCCCAGTCTGTAGCGGTGCATGGGATTCTTCCGTCCTAAGTGCAGGACTCCGCACTTGTCCTTGTTGAACCTCATCAGATTTCTTTTGGCCCAATCCTCTAATTTGTCTAGGTCCTTCTGTATCCTATCCCTACCCTCCAGCATATCTACCACTCCTCCCAGTTTAGTGTCATCTGCAAACTTGCTGAGGGTGCAGTCCATGCCATCCTCTAGATCATTAATGAAGATATTGAACAAAACCGGCCTCAAGACAGACCCTTGAGGCACTTAGCTTGATACCTGCTGCCAACTAGACACGGAGCCATTAATCACTACCCGTTGAGCCCGACAATCTAGCCAGCTTTCTATCCACCTTATAGTCCATTCATCCAGCCCATATTACTTGCTGGCAAGAATACTGTGGAGACCATATCAAAAGCTTTGTTAACGTCAAGAAACAACACATCCACTGCTTTCCCCTCATCCACAGAGCCAGTTATTTCATCATAGAAGGCAATTAGATTAGTCAGGCATGACTTGCCCTTGGTGAATCCATGCTGACTGTTCCTGATCACTTTCCTCTCCTCTAAGTGCTTCAGAATTGATTCCTTGAGGACCTGCTCCATGATTTTTCCAGGGACTGAGGTGAGGCTGACTGGCCTGTAGTTCCCCAGATCCTCCTCCTTCCTTCTTTTAAAGATTGGCACTACATTAGTCTTTTTCCAGTCATCCGGGACCTCCTCCAATTGCCATGAATTTTCAAAGATAATGGCCAACGGCTCTGCAATCACATCCACCAACTCCTTTAGCACCCTCGGATGCAGAACATCCAGCCCCATGGATTTGTGCTCATCCATATAAATCTGTGAAACTCCCACGAGGCTCATTAAGACTATTTCACATGTATTTCCTTTTGTCCCCTTGAAATTGCTCCTTCCCTCAATGAGTTTCACGACTTTCAGAGTGAATTTCATTGCTTAACACCCTGTTAACAAAAACAAACAAAAACGACTCCTTTCCTCTAGATGAGGAGCCTAAAGGGGATGAGCCAAGCCCCATATCAAAGGGAAATAGGCCAGATAATGTGCATATACAAATGAATAATGATCTATCGGACATTGATCCCACACCCACTAAAGTAAATGGTAAAGCTCCCATTGACTTTGCTGTGGCAGGTAACGGACACTTGGAGTCTTAGATATATAAAGTCTACTTTATAGAAATCCCACCAGTGACCTTTGCCATCAGGCTGGCTAACCTAGTGAGGAGGGCTTTAAACTAGGTTCACCGGGGGAAGGAGACCAAAGCCCTGAGGTAAGTGGGAAAGCGGGATACCGGGAGGAAGCACAGGCAGGAATGTCTGTGAGGGGAGGGCTCCTGCCTCATACTGGGAATGAGGGGCGATCAACAGGTTATCTCAAGTGCTTATATACAAATGCACAAAGCCTTGGAAACAAGCAGGGAGAACTGGAGGTCCTGGTGATGTCAAGGAACTATGACGTGATTGGAATAACAGAGACTTGGTGGGATAACTCACATGACTGGAGTACTGTCATGAATGGTTATAAACTGTTCCGGAAGGACAGGCAGGGCAGAAAAGGTGGGGGAGTAGCACTGTATGTAAGGGAGCAGTATGACTGCTCAGAGCTCCGGTACGAAACTGTAGAAAAACCTGAGTGTCTCTGGATTACGTTTAGAAGTGTGTGCAACAAGAGTGATGTAGTGGTGGGAGTCTGCTATAGACCACCGGACCAGGGGGATGAGGTAGATGAGGCTTTCTTCCGGCAGCTCACGGAAGCTACTAGATCGCACGCCCTGATTCTCATGGGTGACTTTAATTTTCCTGATATCTGCTGGGAGAGCAATACAGCAGTACATAGACAATCCAGGAAGTTTTTGGAAATCGCAGGGGACAATTTCCTGGCGCAAGTGCTAGAGGAGCCAACTAGGGGGGGCGCTTTTCTTGACCTGCTGCTCACAAACCGGGTAGAATTAGTGGGGGAAGCAAAAGTGGATGGGAATCTGGGAGGCAGTGACCATGAGTTGGTTGAGTTCAGGATCCTGACGCAGGGAAGAAAGGTAAGCAGCAGGATACGAACCCTGGACTTCAGGAAAGCAGACTTCGACTCCCTCAGGGAATGAATGGCCAGGATCCCCTGGGGGACTAACATGAAGGGGAAAGGAGTCCAGGAAAGCTGGCTGTATTTCAAGGAATCCCTGTTGAGGTTACAGGGACAAACCATCCCGATGAGTCGAAAGAATAGTAAATATGGCAGGCGACCAGCTTGGCTTAATGGTGAAATCCTAGCGGATCTTAAAAATAAAAAAGAAGCTTACAAGAAGTGGAAGGTTGGACATATGACCAGGGAAGAGTATAAAAATATTGCTCTGGCATGTAGGAATGATATCAGGAGGGCCAAATCGCACCTGGAGCTGCAGCTAGCAAGAGATGTCAAGAGTAACAAGAAGGGTTTCTTCAGGTATGTTGGCAACAAGAAGAAAGTCAAGGAAAGTGTGGGCCCCTTACTGAATGAGGGAGGCAACCTAGTGACAGAGGATGTGGAAAAAGCTAATGTACTCAATGCTTTTTTTGCCTCTGTCTTCACTAACAAGGTCAGCTCCCAGACTGCTGCGCTGGGCATCACAAAATGGGGAAGAGATGGCCAGCCCTCTGTGGAGATAGAGGTGGTTAGGGACTATTTAGAAAAGCTGGACGTGCACAAGTCCATGGGGCCGGACGAGTTGCATCCGAGAGTGCTGAAGGAATTGGCGGCTGTGATTGCAGAGCCATTGGCCATTATCTTTGAAAACTCATGGCGAACGGGGGAAGTCCCGGATGACTGGAAAAAGGCTAATGTAGTGCCAATCTTTAAAAAAGGGAAGAAGGAGGATCCTGGGAACTACAGGCCAGTCAGCCTCACCTCAGTCCCTGGAAAAATCATGGAGCAGGTCCTCAAAGAATCAATCCTGAAGCACTTGCATGAGAGGAAAGTGATCAGGAACAGCCAGCATGGATTCACCAAGGGAAGGTCATGCCTGACTAATCTAATCACCTTTTATGATGAGATTACTGGTTCTGTGGATGAAGGGAAAGCAGTGGATGTATTGTTTCTTGACTTTAGCAAAGCTTTTGACACGGTCTCCCACAGTATTCTTGTCAGCAAGTTAAGGAAGTATGGGCTGGATGAATGCACTATAATGCACTATAAGGTGGGTAGAAAGCTGGCTAGATTGTCGGGCTCAACGGGTAGTGATCAATGGCTCCATGTCTAGTTGGCAGCCGGTGTCAAGTGGAGTGCCCCAAGGGTCAGTCCTGGGGCCGGTTTTGTTCAATATCTTCATAAATGATCTGGAGGATGGTGTAGATTGCACTCTCAGAAAATTTGCAGATGATACTAAACTGGGAGGAGTGGTAGATACGCTGGAGGGGAGGGATAGGATACAGAAGGACCTAGACAAATTGGAGGATTGGGCCAAAAGAAATCTGATGAGGTTCAATAAGGATAAGTGCAGGGTCCTGCACTTAGGACGGAAGAATCCAATACACCGCTACAGACTAGGGGCCGAATGGCTAGGCAGCAGTTCTGTGGAAAAGGACCTAGGGGTGACAGTGGATGAGAAGCTGGATATGTGTCAGCAGTGTGCCATTGTTGCCAAGAAGGCCAATGGCATTTTGGGATGTATAAGTAGGGGCATAGCGAGCAGATCGAGGGACGTGATCGTACCCCTCTATTCGACATTGGTGAGGCCTCATCTGGAGTACTGTGTCCAGTTTTGGGCCCCACACTACAAGAAGGATGTGGATAAATTGGAGAGAGTCCAGCGAAGGGCAACAAAAATGATTAGGGGTCTAGAACACATGACTTATGAGGAGAGGCTGAGGGAGCTGGGATTGTTTAGTCTGCAGAAGAGAAGAATGAGGGGGGATTTGATAGCTGCTTTCAACTACCTGAAAGGGGGTTCCAAAGAGGATGGCTCTAGACTGTTCTCAATGGTAGCAGATGACAGAACGAGGAGTAATGGTCTCAAGTTGCAGTGGGGGAGGTTTAGATTGGATATTAGGAAAAACTTTTTCACTAGGAGGGTGGTGAAACACTGGAATGCGTTACCTAGGGAGGTGGTAGAATCTCCTTCCTTAGAGGTTTTTAAGGTCAGGCTTGACAAAGCCCTGGCTGGGATGATTTAACTGGGAATAGGTCCTGCTTCGAGCAGGGGGTTGGACTAGATGACCTTCTGGGGTCCCTTCCAACCCTGATATTCTATGATCTATGCAATAAACACAAAGTCTTCCCTTGTCTCCTTGTTCTAGGGCACTGCTGGCAGTGAAGCCATGGCCACGGAAGAAATGTCTAACCTGGTGAACTACATACAGCCAGTGAAGTTTGAGTCATTTGAGATATCAAAAAGTAAGTAATCTAAATAGCCATAGCATGATTTTATACTGGGAATTACTTAGGAGGTCACTTTCTTATCCTCAGTCGGAATTATTTGAACATATCATGGGGCAGATCTTCAACGTGTGTAAATGCAGTTGTCATATCTTCATGGAAGTCAAGTAGACACCCGTAGAGGATCTGTCCCCATAGGTATAGGAGAAGAGACTGCTTAGAAAACTGATGACTCTCTGCTTTTCTCTCCTTAGTGCGTTGCATAAATCCTGTTAAGGGTATTAGGAATTACCCACATGTATCAAGGGACAATAGAGCCACATTCATTTTGAGATATGCACTAGTCTAAACATTCAGTTTTGTCTATGGTAAACATTGGTACGCAGTGTGTGCGTCAGGTTCGACAAAGTTTCTGGAATTGAAAAAGTCTTTGCTTGTCAAATTAAATGTCCATGAATAAACAGGGTCAGAAAAGCGAGGCGTATTGTCAACCTTTGAACAACGAGATCGTGAGCATTGAGCGAGAAACAGCAAGTGCTTTTACGCTGTGCCCATGTTGCACGTACAACAGATAAAATATAAACACAGCGCTCACCCCTCATGTAAATCTATCTTTTCTACCACAGCCTAGGCTATAACTTCATCCCCTGCTGATTTTTCACTGATAAAGTCTTGCTGGGAATTCACATTGCAGCATCGTTAATAAACAGAACAGCAGCATTTCCCGTCTAGGAGCAGAACCCCCTACCATCTACCTGCCCTTTTTCATGGTGTTTTGACAGGATACAACATGTTCTTGACATTTCTTTTTTGTTAAAGCAGCCTATCGCATTTTCATTTTTAAGTCCTGGATTTATGAGGCCCTTGAAGACCAGGGTTATGGGTGCCTAAATCCATTACCTCTATACAAGATTTTACATCTACTGAGCCTTGTATTGCAGATGTTATGAGCATGATGGCAACTGCTTCATCAGAAGCAAATTAAGTAACTCCCCCAAACAAATATATTGAAATATTTAAAACTTCATTGTCAATATATGTATATATTTATATATCTTTGATTCCCATCCATCAGCTCAACAGCGACAATAGGACTGCAAGAAATCTTTACATCACTTTCTATCTTGAACCAACTTCATGGCTTCATTATAAAATATTTAAAACATTGTGTGTGTGTGTACTGGTCCAACTTATAGTAAGCTGTTTGTATTCAAGTTGCCTTTTTCTAATACTAAATTTTCTGTTGGATGCACATTTATACTCCCTGTAGAGGCTTTGAGTGGTTCCCCCCCATCAGTGTCAGAGGGAATAGTCGGCTAGCCTCAGGAATTGACGCTCTTGTCCCTTCATGGTGGGTGGTAGCCAGGCCTGCAAGGCTTGAACCTGTCCAATGAGAGGCCGTGCCTATCCTCGGCCCAAGGTGTATCCAAGGTATGTCATTTCCTGCCACACTTCCTTGGGTTAGTGGGCAGTTAAGCCCACAGGGCCCATACGACAGCCACCACCTGGTTGAGATGGTCCTCCTGGTGTCGGCTGTGTATCACCCCGTCATTGAGATATGCTGCAGCGTAGGAACCGTGAGGCTACAGGAGGAGGTGATCCATCAGCCTCTGGAAGGTGGTGGGGGCCCCATAGAGACTGAAGGGCATCCAAAGAAACTGGTAGATCACAGTTGGCACAGCAAACGCTGTCTTCTCTCTCAGGCTTGGATTAAGGGGGATTTGCCAGCAGCCGTTTGTGAGGGGCGGTGATGAAGTGAGCTTCCCCGAGGTGGTCAAGCAATTCATCAATATGGGGTATTGGGTACGCATTGAATTTAGAGATCTTGTTTACCCTTTGTAAGTCGATGCAAAAGTGCAGGGTCACACCGTGGGAGGTGCCGCGTCACCTCACAACCATCACACCCCTGGGTTGGTCAGGATGGCATGGTGGACAAGAGTGGTCTGGGCAGGTAGAGCAGTGAAGGTCTTAGGGAAGGCCTTCAACAGGCTTCAAGTCTGCCTCTGTTGCTCCTTGGTGAGGGTATCCCTGAGTTGTGGTTCCTCTGGGCCGATTGCCCAGGTCTGGCTCAGTAGAGTAAGCGACAATCAATAGATGCCCCTGCTCTTGCGAAGTCTTCAGGAAGTTGACAAGATAGAGCTGTTTTTTCTTCTGCCAGTCCAGTTGCTGAATTTCATACACTACTGGCCCCACCCGACAGATTACTTTGTACAGCCCCGCCAGGGGGCCAGGAGCTTGTACTCCTCAGAGGGTAGTAGGAGCAGGACCCGTTCACCAACTTCAAAGGTCTGAAACTGTGCCCCCTGGTTATAGCTTCCCTCCTGAGTCCCTTGGGCAGCTTGCAGGTTTTCCTTCGCCAGAGTCCCGGCATGGTTCAGGCACTCCTGGCACTGGAATACATATTGTACGAGTCTCTGGGCCTGCGATGGTGAGTACTCCCATGTCTTACACATCAGGTTGAGCAACCCAGTAGTCCGCCAACAACTACAGGGCTCGTAATTTTTTCGACAGGCTGCTTGTGGGCACCGGACTCTCCCATGCAGATCTGGCCAAAGGTACAGTCCATCAGGGGACATTCCTGCTGCAAGTGTCCAAAACTGCCACAGGAGAAACAGGGTCCTAGCTGGGGATGTCTGAGCCAGGTCTCCTGGTTCAGCGAATGTGTGTGCGAGGGGAGGGGTGGGGACGTCCTCAGGTTCTGAGGTCCCGCTCAATGCATCGGGTTTGCGTGTCAGGGTTCAGTGCCACCTCGTCTGCCATGACTCCTCAGGGTCAACCTGGAGTTGGCCCATGAGCCAGAACTTTCTCCAGGCTTGTCAGGGTTGACCCCAATATCGTGGCTTGGGCCTCTGGCCCGACAAGGGCCTCTGCTGCCAAGAAGTCCTCCATGAGGGTGACTGCCACACTTAAAGTAGTGGGGCAGTGTTGGAGCATCCAGGACCTCCCTCAGGGTGGGAGGATGTGGGTGAATTGTTCCAGCGTGACCTGTTTGGCCACCTCGGCGACAGAATGCTGATTGGTCTGGAGCCACCACCAGCAGCTGTCCTTCAGCTCCTGTCATATCCCCTGAATCTGGGGTCAGGCACGTGGTCGGTACCCCTTCCCCGGAACCGCACAGAACATCTCTGGGGTGATGTCCAGCATGTTAAGCACTGTGACCTTTACTTGCCCATAATCCCGGGCCTCTTCGATGAGGAGCCCACAGTAGGCCGATTGGGCCATCCCTGTTAGATATGTGGCCCACTCCTCAAGGGGCCCCTGGGTGGCCGAGGCGACCCTCTCAAATGTCATGAGAAAAGCCTTGGGGTCATCTTCGGGTCCCATCTTTGCTAGCCATACAGGAATGGTAAGCACAGCAAGGGTTGTTTCCCCAGAGGGGCTAGGGCCACTGTGACCAGGCAGCAGGGCAGCCAGCTCTTGCAGGCACTGCTGCTGTTGTTCCCGATGCTGGGTCCCCAACTCCTAGAGCAACTGTCGCTGCTGACCTGCCAGCTACTTCATCAGTTGCTGTTGATGTTGCAGCTGGGTTGCCTGCTGTTGCTGCTGGCTCTCCGGCAGCCACTTATCCAGTTTCTCAACCACATGGCCAGAGATGGTTGCTGGGAGGTCTTTGGGGCATCCTCAGCCCCTTGCCTCAGGGGTTGGGTTGGTGCCCACCTTCTCCACCAAGTGTAGCGACTTTGAGTGGTTCCTTCCTGTCAGCATCCAAGGGAGGCCACTCCGCCTTGCTATGCCACCTAGCTGCTGAGAGCCAATCGACAGGGGATTAGCACAGTAAATCAGTAAAGAGTCTCGGGCTCTGGTCCCTCGGGACAGAGCAGTGGGCTGTCTTTAGCCCAGCTCTCCGGCTGGGGCAGACAATCGCCACAGTCAGGCTCAAGCCCTCTGGGCAGGACAGAGCAATAGCAGTCTGTAGCCAGCCTTCTGTCTGGGGCAGACAGCATCTAAACACAGACGAATGGCCTAAAATGAATAGGCTGCCACCCCAGGGGTGAGGTTGGCAGCAGGGGGTAGGGAGACCCAGGCCCACCCTACTCCACTGGGTCAGCAGGGATCCTGCCAAAACACGCTGACCATGGTTTAAGCACCACAACCGGACTAATGTCTGATTTCCCTGGACTACTTCCTAACCCTGTCTGTTCATAGGGCGTCATTTCTCACGGGTCCTTGGCACATGGCTGTTCCAGCAGCTCCTCAGGATGTTCCTTCAGGGGTCCGGCAGGGGTTGGTATAGCATGGTCCCTGGCTCAGGGGCCAGCAGCAAGGCAGAGGTGTCTGACTCCTTCCCTGGCTCTCTCTTAACTGAGCCGGAAGCCCTGCCTCTTATACTTCTTGTTCTGCCCCTCTGCTTCCAGAACAAAGGGCGGGCCTGACCGGGAATGGTTCCTCCCTGTGAACGTCGGAGGGAGGCCACTTTGCTTCTCTACACTTCCCTTAACACTAATAGGAGTTATGTGTACACATTATGGGGAAAAATATTCCTCCTAGAAAGGAAGCTAAATGGGTGAGGGAACTCTTACTTTGAAGCCTACCAACCTTTCTGAACAGTATGATGTATCTGTTGTCAAAAATCTGGGCATGACATTTATCTCTCACATGCTCTTGCCCTAACTGAGTTCTACCTCTTGTAAGGAACAGTATGTGCAGATTTAACACAGCAGGTTTTAACTCTGAGCTTTGATCCAAACATATTTTATTCTCATTTGAGTACTCCTTGCATTATAACATTGGGGTGAGTATTTATGGTGTTCAAGTATAAAAAGACATTATTGTTAGGGTGTTATATATTGGTTAAAAGTGGCCTGGGTGGCAGGATGCCAGGCTGCATTGCTAACTCTGCCTCTGACTTACTCAGTGACCTCAGGGAAGTCCACTAAAGATTAATGCAAAGGGGGGGGGATTAAATCAAGCTTTTTTAATTTAAATTGATTTTTAAACATTTGAAATGACTTTTCATTTGTCTTTCTCATTCTTTACTTTCTTCCCATTTTGTAGTTTTAAATTGCAAAAGTGTTTTG